CACAAAAACTTGTGTACATAAATGCCATACGACAAAAGACATTCAGTGGAAATCACATACTCATTGTTATAAAAACCTGACATTTTTACAAAGAGACAAGGAAAACAAGGTAATTGTTTGATTGTAATTAATGATATGTAACCTGCAGTGCATCTGGTGTCTCATATGTAACTATAAAAATTATACAAATATATTAGCTGAACTCATGTAAACATCACATGAATAGAAGGATGAAGAAGGTTTAACAAAGGAACTGTTAATCAAAATATATATCATGGACCTATTATCAAAAGTTTATAAATTAACATGTGTAATAAAGTAGGTCATGAAGATGATCAAGCTGGGTGTCTCACTGGCAAGAATGAAGAGATTTTCAACCAAACAAGTCTTTTTCTCCTGCAGATCTAGTAGCAAATACATTTTGGCTTCTTATATTCAACATCCTTTCCAAACATTATTCCATAGAACAATTTCATATCCTCCATTCCCTACTTTCCTTCCCTATGAAATCATTGCAGTATACAAATAGAACATTTGTACTATAAGGTTCTATACCACACAAGCCTGTGCAATATTTTATCCCCTTTGATCAGGATGATAAAAAATTATTGATTTCTTTTTTGAGTACACTGTATATGCTGCATATTGTAATCAATTTCTTTTCCCACTGGAATAATAATCAAAATAAACATGAAATTTGTCTTATACAACAAAGTATTCTGATGTGAAAAAGACAGTATTACAAAGGAAAAATGAAGAGCCAACTTAGGATTAGTAGCTGAAACAGCCCTGAATATTAAGTTATTAGAAGAATCATTCACTGCAATCAATGAGCAGCCACAAACCACTTAGGAACTAAACAAGCAATCTGAAGACAACAATTAACTTGAAGAACAATTCAATTAAAATTATACATAAATGGAAGAGGTAATATGTAATACATGTACTGTATGTTGGTGAGATGAGATTTTCTATAAAGACAAAATTATTAAAAGAAATACAGCATATGCCACATAGCTTATTCAATTGTAAATGACTATCACAAACAATATGAATTTATGCCCATTCACCGTAACTACCCATGCCTTCTGAACACTTATTTTTCTTCTCACATGCAGGACACTCCACCACATAATATGGATGATGCCAAATACTTCACAGTTTTCTCCTTTTCCTTTTACATACAATGTTTCTATGTAGCAAAAAAAAAAAAAAAAAAAAAATCTTTAAATATACCAGTATAATCCTCATGACATTTAGTTCTCTAAATTTCACATGAATTTCCTCTATTGATCCTGACCTATCACAAATCCTCAGCATCTGAGTACTGCACTCCCTTACGGCGGGATAAGGAACGTCTACCTCTAGAAACTCGACGAACTACCCTTTCCCCTCCTGCTGGACTGTTGTAGCTCTGAAAACATAAGTGCAATGTTTAAAGTTGAAACACACCAAAATATAGTTTATCTTTTTATAGATCTTTTACTTTGCACATATTCTTACTTATAATTTACTCTGCAACATATTCTTATCAATAACTTACTATGCAACATATTCTGAAAAAAATTAAATATTGCCTTTATAGTTGCAATATCTATCCATATATAACTAACACTGACTTTATGGATTCTATATGTATCCATGTAGAACTATCACTGATAGATTACAAATTACTACATTTACTACACCGCCCTCTGAATCAGTCTATAAGGATGATTTCTCAGACAAGAACTTGTAGAGCCTTTTAAAAAAGATTGATTCCACATGTTCCTATATTCATTTCTTTATCATTTAGCAAAGAATTATATAGGTAAATTGATATAACTGATTAACCAATACCAGGAACTTTCTTACTTAAATATCCTTTCTACAAATATATAACAATAAGAGACACAACATGTATTTATTGCTTCCACTTGGCTCCCAGCTTCTGAACTGCAAAATTAACTCACCTACTGTGAAAACCATCAATATATTCCTCCTTATGGTGGGAGCTTCAATACCAATTCTGCTGAAGGGCCCATAGAGCCTTGGGCCATCCCTCATTAAAGTCAAATCTAAGAGCTACTCTTAACTGAAAAGTTAATGCTTACCTGATTAAGGTCAAAATCATCTAAATCTGATTCTGCTCCTACTGTCGGAGGAACTTGGCTTGGGACATTCTGACTCATGAGTGGCCTCTTTCTTGGAACCTTGCAACACTCTGCAAATAATCAGAACATTAGCCAAAAATGTCCAGCTAAAATATATAAATATACATATTTTTAAAATTAATGGTACAGTATAATAATAGTAAAAGCAAATTCCATAAATACTAAGAAATTATGCAAATTAAAAATAAAAATGAGTAACACATGCAAGTCACCACTAAAAGTCACCGTAGCCTTACCACTGTTTTCCTTTCCACAGTTAATTTTCCCACAGCCCTTTGATTTTCCTTCTGATTTCTGAGACTTTTCTACTGATTTTGGTTCCTTCTCTTTTGGTGGTGTTACCTTTTTCTTCTGGTATGCTAAATGACTACCAAAAATTGGAGCTAATCGAACATTTGACGGCTTCAGGCCAGAGACAGTAGATTTTTCATCTTTTCCACCTTTCTGCTTGTTTTTCTTTGGTGTAGCATCAGCAAAAAGGTCTTCATCTGAATCAAACATCTGTGGGGAAGAACTTCTATCATGTGAGGATGACGATGTCCCCGTTTTGCTCTCACCATTGATGAATTCCTGTCCAAGGTTCTTCTTTGACTGTGGTTCTTCTTTTCTACTGTTACATTGCACAGGGGAAGAATTTGCCCTTGATCTGATCTCAGTCTCTAGCAGTTCTTTTAGGGGTGATACATGAACTTTACTCTTTGGATCAATATACTGAAACTCATACACTTCCTGGTCTGCTGCCGAGGAACTCTCCAACTTTGGTCCCTCATCTTTCTGGGCATGGCTATTACTTGCTTCTGAATTTGTCAAGAAAAATGATTTCCTTCTTTTGGGAGGGTTATCTACAGAATTATCAGGGGAACATGGCACCTGGGACACCTTTCCAATTGAAGTCTCTTTAGACGATGTATGCAAGGTTAATGCACTATAGTAAAATTCTTGTTGGAGGACTCTGATGAAAAACACTTGAGCTCTTGGAGTCTGATATCTGAGTTGAGGTGAAAAGGAACCTACTAGGTGGAATGACTAAGCTGCTTGGTGAAGAGCAGAAGTCATCGTCAAGATCTCTTTCGTTGCAGCCTCCAACAATTGTTGAGCTAAATTGGGATGGTAATATAATGCCCGTTTCATTTTTAACACTAGCGTCAAAAGGGTTGTAACTGTGGTATTTTGGGTTGACCCTAAACCATCTACAAGCATGGACAAAGCTCCAGCTGTTGTTGATGAACTGTTCTCTGAGTCAAGCAACATCTTGGCAGTCTGAAATTTACTTGAATTCCCACACACTGCATCCTTCTCTACTGTTGCTGTTTGAGTTTCATTCATGCTGTGAACAAACAAACAAAAAGTTAAATCACACACTTCAGGTAACTGATTAGTTAAACAGTGTTCATTGCAACAAATGTAGAAAAGGTATGAATGAGCATTAATATCTTTACAGAGCAAAAGACATATTCGACTAGTTTCTATCATATCTTCAACAAAAAGACATGTATGTCTGATGAAGATATATTCCAAACATTCAAATACATCTCTTCCATGATGAAGATGTCTGCAACTGATTAGCTAACAAGCATCTTTACAACAAACATTCTAACATTCCTGCAACAATCCACAAACACTAAAATCTTCCAAAAGATAAAAAAAATAAAAGGAAAAAAAGCACCACCAAAAACTGTAAAACACACCTAAAAGAGTCCTACCTTTCAGGTTTCTTTGGTGGATTTGCAGTCATATTTCTCGCAAACTGATTGAGACTGGAGAGTCCCATGGCATAAGACGGATGGTGCACAATCTTATTGCGCACCCACTTGGAGAGGACCCTTCGATATACTTGTTCTGTTGACTCCGCTGCTCAAGGGACTCCTACCTCTAAAGTGTACTTTACTTGGACATCACAACAAGCTGATCAGGGCACCCCAGTCATAGCATTACTTTGATAACCCAAACCCCTTCTATAGGTGACTGCCTGAGAAAGTTCAAAAGACAATTAAGTAGCCTGTTTCATAGTAGCATTTGTCTCAATTGTCCCTAAAAAGAGTGCTACTTGTATGTGATGTACTGTATATTGGCTCACCATAGAAAGGAACTGCATGATGTCGTTGCTTTTTACACACATCATTACTAAGGCCTCCACTGACAGGGTATATATTGAATACAGCTGTATCACTTTGAACCTATACTAAGGTACATACTTATCTGTAGAATTTCTTTTTCCAGAAAAACATTGTACTGACTGCAGAATGTACATAGTCTCCCTTGAATTCCACCACTTGTACAATTTCTTTTTCCAGCAAAAACAATTAGTTTAAATTATACTGAAAACTACTGCAGTTTAAATCTTACTCTACCATGTTGATGAAATATATTAATTCAACAATCATAGTCCATTCAAAGTAGTACTTATTTAGTAGACCACTTACAGCTATAACAGCACGTGCATTATCATCTGTGAAGTCTAGTCCTTCACTGACTTTTCCTCGACAAACAGCCATGAAAAACGCGCCATTCACTTCACCATCACATTCTTCCCTGATAAAAGAAGAGTCTGTCAACACTATCATGAATATTATGTGAATTATTTGATCAAATATATAAAAGTGATTCTCTTTCCTAATACTGAAATAGATTTACACAAAATACATAGGGGTAAAAGTAATAAAACTAAACACAACAGTACATAAACCCAAGCACAAACAGATACCCAGTTCTCCTAATAGTGTCATAGAAGAGTTTCATTGTCTCCTCAAATTCCTCCCCGCTGCGAGGCTCACACATGCTGATCTTGACTTTGTTCAATTCATCCCAGAGCCCAGTTATCTGCCATCTGTTGAGAAATAGAAAAAAGAATGTGGAATGCTCCTAAATAAGGTAGAGGGAGTTATTAAAGTTAAAATAAAGACAATTACATCATTCTTATAGTTACAGACTTACTGTAAAGAGAATGGAATAACCAAAATTTACATTTTCTTTACAGGGAAAATAATGTGATTAATTATCAACTTCAAACAAAAGGAAAACGCTCTACCTATCAAGGAGTTTGTTCAGCAGGGAATAGGAGGGCAAAAAGCACAAGACTCCCCGGGGAACAGAGCGACACACATCCAGCACCAGCTTCCCTAACTCGTCTTGGAATCCCCAGGTCTCTGTGTGCCGGTATGTTGCCTGGAGCATTTGGTCGGTTGGCCCCTTTCCAACAGTGCCAACCCATACCTGCAATGTATTGACTGAATTAGGTGACTGAATTCTGATATGACATTGGTGCAAAAGATCTATGACTGAAATTAGGTAAATCACAGAGAATAATGTACTTGTTCGTTTGTGTTACCAAGGATATTGTATTGTTTATAGTCTGTATCAAAATTTTCTATAAAAAAATTACATAAAAAATTGAATGAGAACAAATTCTACTGCAAAATGAAACAGAAATAATCCATTCCCAATGAACTATTGCAATTTACAATAAAAGCTCACTTTCAAAAATACAGATCTGAGCACCACATTACCTGATTCTTGTCAATGACATGATTAGCCTCCAGCTGAATCTTAAAAGGGACTCCCAGTTCAGACTGAAATGAACTCATTGGAGACAGGGTGCCGGAGGTCAGGATGATGCAACGGACATTTGCACCGACTGAACTGAATGCCACACCAGGGTTAAGGCACCAGAAGTTGATGGAGAATGCCCAGCTGATTGTGGCTCTCTTACCTAGCCATCCTGAAGCATTCTGGAGATCATAGCAAAGCAAAAAAGGAAGAGAAATTAAGAAATTATTGTAAGGAGGTATATACTCTTCTATTCAAAATGTGCCTTAAAAAAGTATTAGGCTGACCAAAAATGGTGTATTTTAATCAAAAAGAAAAATAAAGTTAAAGAAGAAAGTATGGCTAGTTATAGGACAAAACCAAACTACACCAAAACAAGAAATGCCAACTTACAGGCGCCCTTTTCCTGGTCTGAGACTTTACAATGGCAATGCGGTAGTCATCTCTGTACTTCATGTTGTCCATGTACAGAAACTCATACATAAGGAAGAGACTCTTCAGTAGCATACTTGTGTTAGAGCTGATGCGAGGGTTCAAGTCCTCGGGATCTTGGTCATCTGTCACTACATTGAAGCAGCGCTAAAGGTAAATTGGGAAGTAATTAATCCTTCATATTTATCATACACATTTAAAAATAAATAAATAAGTACAGGAAATGAATAAACAAGCCACTGAACATGAACAAACCTTTAGTTCACCAATCTTGTCGTTCCCAATACCAAGCATATCTAAGCTGGCTATCATCTGCGTGCCAGTGAAGATCTTTCCAGACCTGTCAAACTCTGTGTAGTCAGTCAACTTGTCGGAGTTTTGGTCCACCCAACCGCTTAATGCACTCAGCATGCTGGCCTATGGAAAAAAAATATCAATTTAATGGAGAAGATTCTATATCAAATGGTTGTACACATGTAACATATATTCCTAAAAATTCATATGTCTATCATACTTGTGTTAGAGCTGATTTATACATACACATGCATACATATATTCTCAAACACACACATGAACATGCATAACTGAATAACACACACTTCCACATATGCATGCTATCTCTCTCTCTCTCTCTCTCTCTCTCTCTCTCTCTCTCTCTCTCTCTCTCTCTCCCTCTCCCTCTCTCTCCTCTCCCTCTCTCTCCCTCTCTCTCTCTCGTCTCTCTCTCTCTCTCTCTCTCTCTCTCTCTCTCTCTCTCTCTCCCTCTCCTCTCTCCCTCCCTCCCTCTCCCTCTCCCTCTCCCTCTCCCTCTCCCTCTCCTTCTCCTTCTCCTTCTCCTTCTCCTTCTCTCCTTCCCTCCCCTCTCCCTCTCCCTCTCCCTCTCCCTTCTCCTTCTCCTTCCTCCTTCTCCTTCTCCTTCTCCTTCTCCTTCTCCTTCTCCTTCTCCTTCTCCTCTCCTCTCCCTCTCCCTCTCCCCTCCCTCTCCTTCTCCTTCTCCTTCTCCTTCTCCTCCTCTCCCTCTCCTCCTCTCCTCTCTCTCTCCTCTCTCCTCTCTCTCTCCTCTCTCCCTCTTCTCTCTCCTCTCTCTTCTCTCTCTCTCTCTCTCTCTCCTTCCTTCCTCCCTCCCTCTTCCCTTCCTTCCTCCTCCTTTCCTTCCCTCCCTCCCCCTTCCTTCCTCCTCCTCCTTCCTTCCTCCCTCCCTCTCCTTCCTTCTTTCCTCCCTCCCTCCCTCCCTTCCTTCCCTTCCTCCTCCTCCTCCTCCTTTCCTTCCTTTCCCCTCCCTCCCTCCTTCCTTCCTTCCTCCCCTTCCTTCCCTCCCTCCCTCCTTTCCTTCCTCCCTCCTCCTCCTTCTTCCTTCACGTCCCTCCTTCCTTCCTCCCTCCTCCCTCTTCTTCCTCCCACCCTCCTTCCTTCCCTCCTCCCTCTTCCTTCCCTCCCTCCTTCCCCCTCCTCCTCCCTCCTTCCTTCCCTCCCTCCTCCTTCCCATCCTCCCTCCCTCCTTCCTTCCCTCCCTCCTTCCTTCCTGCCTCCTCCTTCCTTCCTCCCTCCCCCTTCCCTTTCCTCCTCCCTCCTTCCTTCCCTCCCTCCTTCCCTCCCTCCCTCCTTCTTCCCTCCTCCCTCTCCTTCCTTCCTCTCCTCCTCCCTTTCCTTCCCTCCCTCCTCCTCCTTCCTCCTCCTCCTTCCTTCCCTTCCTCCTTCCTTCCTCCTCCCTCCCTCCTTCCTTCCCTCCTCCCTTCCTCCCTCCCTCCTCCTCCCTCCCTCCCTCCTTCTTCCTTCCCTCCCTCCCTCCTTCCTTCCCTCCCTCCTCCTTCCCCTCCCTCCTTCCTTCCTCCTCCCTTCCTTCCCCTCCCTCCCTCCTTCCTTCCCCTTCCTCCTTCCTTCCTCCCTCCCTCCCTCTTCCTTCCTCCACCTCCCCTCCTCCTTCCTCCTCCCTCTCCTCCCTCCTTCCTTCCCCCTCCTCCTTCCCTCTGCCTCCTTCCTTCCTCCTCCCTCCTTCCTCTCCCTTCTCCTCTCCTCTTCCTTCCCTCCTCCCTCCTTCCTCCTCCTCCCCCTCCTTCCCTCTCCTCCTTACCTTCCCTCCCTCCTCCCTCTCTTCCTTCCTCCCTCCCTCCTTCCTTCCCTCCCTCCCTCCCTCCTCCTTCCTCCTCCCTTCCTTCCTCCCTCCTCCTCGCTTCCTCCTCCCTCCCTCCTTCTTTCCCTCCCTCCTTCTCCTCCTTCCTTCCTCCCTCCCTCCTCCTTCCTTTCCCTCCCTCCCTCCCTCCTTCCTCCCTCCCTTCTTCCTCCTCCTCCCTCCTTCCTTCCCTCCTCCCTCCTCCTTCCTCCTCCTCCCTCCCTCCTCCTTCCTCCCTCCTCCTCCTTCCCTCCCTCCCTCCTTCCTTCCCTCCCTCTCTCTCCCTCCTTCCTTCGCCTCCTCCTCCCTCTTTCCTTCCCTCCTCCTCCTCTCCTCCCTCCCATCCTTCCTTCCTTCCCTCCCTCCTCCTCCTTCTTCCTTCCTCCCTCCTCCTCTTTCCTTCCCCTCCCTCCTTCCTTCCTCCTCCTTCCCTCCTCCCTCCTCCTTCCTTCCCTCCTCCCTCCTTCCTTCCTTTCCCTCCCTCCTCTCTTCCTTCCCTCCCTTCCCTCTTCCCCTCCCTCCTCCCTCTCTCATTCCTTCCTCCCTCGTTCCTTCTTCCTTCCCTTCCTCTTCCTTCCCTCCCTCCCTGCCTTCCTTCCCTCCCCTCCCTCCTCCCTTCCTTCCTTCCTCCTCCCTCCTTCCTCCTCCCTCCCCCTCCTTGCCTCCCTCCTCCTTCTTCCCTCCCTCCTCCTTCGCTTCCCTCCCTCCCTCCTTCTTCCTTCCTCCTCTTCCTTCCTTCCTCCCTCCCTCCTTCCTTCCGTCCCTCCTTCCTTCCTTCCCCCCTCTTCCTTCCCTCCTTCCCTCCCTCTTCCTTCCTTCCTCCCACTCCTTCCTTCCTTTCCTTCCTGTCCTTCCTTCCTCCTCCCTCCTTCCTTCCCTCCCTCCCTCCTTCCTTCCCTCCCTCCTCCTCTCCCTCCCTCCTCCTTCCTTCCTTCCCTCCTCCCTCCTCCTTCCTTCCTTCCTTTCCCTCCGCTCCCTCCTTCCTTCTTCCTTTCCCCCTCCTCCCTCCTCCTCCTTCCTTCCCTCCCTCCCTCCCTCCTTCTTCCGCCCCTTCCTTCCTTCCTCCCTCCTTCTTCCCTCCCTCCCTCCTTCTTCCCTCCTCCTCCCTGCCTTCCCCTCCCTCCCTCCCTCCTCCCCTCCCTCCTCCCTCCCTCCCTCCTCTCTCCCTCTCTCTCTCTCTCCTCTCTCTCTCTCTCTCTTCTCTCTCTCTCTCTCTCTCTCCACACACACACACATACAGCACAAACCCCCCCCCCCCCGCAGCCACCTACCAGCTTGGTACACTCCTCCTCGTCGACCTTCAGAGCCGCGAGCTTCTCCAAGTCGTCCCTCGCCTCCAGGATGGCGTCCTGCGTCAGGGTGCAGGAGGCCGCCTCCCGAGCGCTGTCCTCGATATTATGAGCCTCGTCCAGGATGATCACCTGCTCCGTCAGGTTGATGCTCATCTGTGGGGCGAAGGGGGGGTAGGGTGTTTAGGAAGGAAAGGGTTATATGAATGTTTGGTTGGTGGTTGGTTTGGTTTGGTTTTGTGTGTGTGTTGTGTGTGTGTGTGTGTGTGTGTGTGTGTGTGGTGTGTGTGTGTGTGTGTGTGTGGTGTGTGTGTGTGTGTGTGTGTGTGTGTGTGTGTGTGTGTGTGTGTGTGTGTGTGTGTGTGTGTGTGTGTGTGTGTGTGTGTGTGTGTGTGTATATGTATATATGTATTATGTATATATGTATATATGTATGTATTATGTATATGTATATATGTATGTATATGTATGTATTTATATTATAATATATGTATGTGTATATATGTATATAATATGTATATACATATATATATATTATATATTATATATATATATATATATATATATATATAATATATATATATATATATATATATATATATATATATATATATATATAAATCAAAGGCATATATTTCTAATTCTGCCATACCCATACTCTCTTCTATCAAACCTAAAAGATTAAGAGAGTCCATCAGGAGACCCATAAACCCCGCCCCCCAGAACATCAATCTCCCCCACTGACTAGCCCTTAACCCACCGCCCCCCATCGGCCGCATCCCTACCCATGCCCCCCACCCCCGCCCGCCGGACCTCCTACTCCTAGAGACCCGCCCCCCGCCCCCCCAGCCAAGACTCTCCCCCCCACGCCCTCGTCCTCACCATCTTTCAAAAGGCTTCTCAAAGCGCATTTATTATCGCAGTATCAAATGTGTCTTCTGTCAACACAGCTATGGACGCAATGGTAATATATGCTATTACTATTTTCCTTTTTTTTTTGCTTTAAATCTATTAACTATTAAATACCGTGTAATCGCGTACGTGACATGTTCTGTGCAAATACCAATGAGCTGCCCTAAGGAGTGCACCCACGTCCGTGAGGCTCGGCCATACTCTCTCGTAAATAGTCCTTCTGCATCTTCCCTTTCCTCGCGGCTCAACGAACACCTCCGAGTCGACTCTGAACTCCGACTCACCGCCTCCCGGATGAGCGGATCCACCAGGTAGTTGTAGGGGCAGAAGACGATCTCCGCCGTGTCGACCAGGGACCGCGCCGCGAAGTAGGGGCACGCCTTGATCTTCTTCCCGAGGCGCACCAGGTCCTCGATGTCCCACGCCGCGTCCAGCCCGAACTGCGCCAGCTGCTCGTGCCGCTTGATCCGCGCCACGCCGTGGTTGAAGCGGCAGCCCTCGCCCTGGGGGAGGAAGGGGGCGGTGAAGGTGCGGTGGTGGAGGGTGGTGGAGAGGAGGTAGGTGGAGGAGGAGGAGGGAGGTAGGTGGGGAGGAGAGAGGAGGAGGTAGGTGGGAGGAGGAGGAGGAGGAGGAGGAGGAGGAGGAGGAGGAAGGGGGGGGGAGGAGGAGGAGGAGAGAGGTGGGAGGAGGAGGAGGGTAATAATAATTAATAATAAATAATAATAATAATAATAATAATAACAATGATATTGATGATAATTATAATTTTGATAGTAATGATAGTAACAATAATAATAATAATAATCATTATATTATTTTGATTGATGATGATGATGATGATAATCCTCACAATCTATGTATCTTTTATTTCGAATAAGAAAAATATCTAACTGTCGACTTTTCCCAAACTCATCACAACAGAAACCTTTTTCATCTCATCAAAACAAAATCATTTCACCCCACCACTCACCCTCCCTCTGAACCATTCACCCTCCCCCCCCCCCTCCCCTCCAAAGCACTCAAAATCTGAAGAAAAAAACATAAACAGAGCAACACCCTACAACACCACATCGAATACCCTTTAGACAGAATTAAATCCCAGACACGGAAAAAAAGACTTACAAGATCCGATCGTACTTCGTGACTCAACTTTCACCCCGTGTTGCATCCCTCTCCCTCTCCGTTCCTCTTCTTCCTCTCTTCCTCCTCATCCTCTCCCTCTCTCTCTTCAAACTTGTTTCTCCTTCTCCTTCCCTATCTCTCTCTCCTTCTCCCTCTCCTACTCCTTCTGGCTCCTCCTCTGCTCCTTCTTCTTCCTCTCCTTATCCTTCTGCTCCTTCTCCTTCTCCTGCTCTTTCTCCCTCTCCCTTTCCTTCTCTCTCTCTATCCTTCTTACTCTCCCTCTCTCCCTATTCGATAAACCGAAAATGCCCTCTCCTGAATGGGTTCTTCCCCTGAACAGTATAATAAGCGACCATTTTGTCACAGTCTTTCCGGATATTTCAGAGAAAGTGGTCAGCGCTCCTGAAGTGTTTCGAGCAGCGGGGAAAACAAATGAAATTAAAAAGTGGAAATGCTACTTGTTAAATGGAATAAAGGAAAATGGGTTGTGACAGATACCAAGGAAAGAGAGAGAGAGGGAGAGAGAGAGAGAGAGAGAGAGAGAGAGAGAGAGAGAGAGAGAGAAGAGAGAGAGAGAGAGAGAGAGAGAGAGAGAGAGAGAGAGAGAGAGAGAGAGAGAGAGAGAGAGAGAGAGAGAGAAGGAAGGAGTGAAACAGCCACAAAGAAGAACGAGAACGAACATGAGGTTAATAAAAAGTAGGAAAGCAACGGAGAGGCAGAAAATGGAGAATAGGAATAAGACGAAGAAGGAACAGAGGTAAAAGAAAAGAAAACTAAGAAAAAGAAGAGAAAAAAACGGCGTAAAAACCAAACGAAGAAAAATCGGATAAAATAAAACAAAAAAATAAGACGAAGAGAAACCAAAGTACTCCCCCCCTCCCTCCCTCCAAGGCTTGAACATCACACGCCATTTCTAAAAAAAAAAAAAAAAAAAAA